ATATATAATAGTAAAAATATTTTTCATTTACTATGAAAAATATTTTATAAACTTCATCATAAACTTTTACAAATGTTTATCAGCACATCTTTCAATCGAATTTATTATAAATGTATTACAATATATAATTAGATGTAGAAAATCATAAAGTCGAGATTTCCCCAGAATGCAACAAATTCTGTATAAAAGTTTCCATTATAACAAACAATAACAATATATATAAACATAATATATATTATTGAATTATATCTGCCTACCCCATAAAAAGTATCTCCAACCACATTTTACATGTTTTTGTTTAAAACTACAGCGATAATATGAAAGATTACAGCTTTGCTTTGTTGATTTCCATAAGAGTCTTCAATTTTTGTGTAAGCATAATGTTTCCAGTTATTTTTAATTTTCCACGCATAAATGCTATTTGCGGATTTAATTTACCTAATGCCTGTAACACACAATTACAATACTGTTAGTAAAAGAAAAGAAAAGAAAAAAAAGAAATATACTATGTCTTTCTGTTTTCACGCAGCTAACTTACAATTTCAACCATATCTGCATCTTCTACAGTGAGTGTTGCGTCTGCTTTTCCAGATTTAGGTTTTCCTTTATGCACTTCTCCATTCTTTAAATCGAGAGCTATGGCAAGAGTTATTTATATAGCCATAAATACTTAATATTATCTCTATGTTATTGCTGATATACATAATTAAAAATATTTGACGTAGATATCGCCGTTTCTTAAATCTGATTAATTAAAAATAATTTCTGAAATTACTTACTCCATTCCGATATTGGTTTCCCACCGACTGTAATATTATACAGGAAGACCGCGTTAACTTTTTTAGCTTGATCTGGATTTAATTTCACCTGTTCGCCAATAGCTGCAAATATAGTGTCACTTTGCATATTTTCCTTCCCAGAACATGGATTTGCTCGGGGCACTTTCGTTTTAACGTCCAATAGATCAATGTAAGCGCCTGCAAAGTAAAATAATCTGTTTTTATTATCTACTCTACTTCTAAAAGTAATAAAAGTTATTCAAATAATAGAAAAAGAATATTTTACATATATTATAATTTTAATTGTGTCTGATTATATATAAATGATAATTTGAAGATAATGTTCACAATTTTCTATTAAACTCTAAAATCTTTCAAAACAATTAGAATGATGTACTTTAAATAAGTATTTATCATTTCATATCATATTATACATTGTATAATATATGATACTTTTAATGTAGAAACGCTATATTTTAAATAGAAAAGCACTTATACAATTTACAGTGTGTGTATGTGTGAAAATATGTGTATGTGTATATTTTAAAATATAAAAAAATCATAGGTTTTTGTAAATTTTATGAAAAATGGCTAACCTGTTACAACCGGTACGCCAGTCTCCACGAGAGATGTTTGAAAATGTATCCTGTTACCATTACGCCACATATCAGTGCGTAGAGTCTGACCTGGCATAACTGGCTTTGCAAATCTCGCCTGGAATTATAATATAATATGTAACTATCAATATTTATTCAAGATATCTATTCAAAATTCAAGATTTAAGATTCTATCCATGCAAGATATTATTAAAATGATAAAAAAAAATCCTGTATATATAAATAAAATTACATAAAATGATATGTCAACTATCGCGATTAAATCAAGATTGATAATTATTGCATCAAAGAACACTACTATGACAAATAATATATACAAACTGTACAGGTTCCATGTAATCAAAATAAAGAAATTCATATAATTTGTAATTATATATCCATTATATTAAACAAAAATCCACAATAACTTATATTATCCACAATAACTCCACAAATAAATCCACAATAACTTATATTATCCAAAATCAACAATAACTCATGTGAATACATATAATAATTATTAGAACAAAGATTTTTTTACATGCTTTAATTAAAATATTTATTTTTTAAGATACCTTCTCCTTCTCTCTCTCTCTTTTCCCCTTAATTACGATTGATACTAATTTACATCAAGGCGCAATTAAACAAGTTCACTATATACGTGCAGCCTACTGAATGCCACATCACACTTCACTTATCTATGCTTTAAATGCTCGTTATCGCCATACTGCTATCTCTTGCGCAAATATCGAATGTATATCTTGTGTATATCATTACGAGATAATTCAGTTGCAAATTAATACAAAGTTTCATGATAAGCACATTTAAAATCTGCTTTAACGCCCATTGTTTCTATGTAAAGTTCAGAAATAATTTTAACCTTGTTTTTATAATTTTCACAAAAGTAAATAATTATTAAGTTAAATTCCACACACAATATCACATTTAGAATAGAGATTTTAGAAAATTATATTTCATATACTACAGATAATTTTTCGTTTTTATTCTAAGATTTGTTTGGACAAATATTTTCTTCTAAACCCCATTTAAATTTAAATTTTAGACTTATTTATTTCACAAAATAATCTTCAAATAGAAGTGTAGAATATTTTTATATAAACAGCTGGAATAATTTTACTTTTTTAAAATGTTAAATTTCACACTATGCAACACATGTACGATTATTTTTACATGTGTGTGTGTTGTTATTTAAAATATTTAATATAATATTTAATATAAACGTCATAAAAAATCTTTCTTCTCCATTTGAATTATCAGAACATCTGATCGTTCATCTTACCGCATTTTAAATTAGAAAATTTACTATGGAACACTTTATAAACATTTCCTCTTTAATGATAACCATACCTTAATGGATTTAAATAAAGATGGATCCCCGGCAGCATAAGCTTGAAGAACATGACGGGTTGAGAATCCTAGCGAAGACAATCCATGCAATATCGGTCTTTCAAAACCTGCCATCGCGGACACATTAGCGTCGATATGCAGAGGATTGAGATCTCCGCTCAATCTGTACAAAGCAGCCTGAAAAAACCATATAAATATTATCATATATTTATATTATTATCATTTATTTACATCAACTTAATATACATAGACATAAGACTACATTTAAATATTTTATTGGTTTTTTAATATGCAAAAAAATTCAAAATCACATTACTCGATTTTAATGGAATATATATATATATATATATATAATAATGATAAGACTATTTATCTGAAAGTTTTGGTTTTCAAGATCATAAATATTTTTTTTTAAAATGTATTTTCTAAAATTTTCAAGAGAATTCTCTCTAGTTTAAATGCCAAAATGTATTTTACATATCCCCATTTTTTATACCTGGTCAATGTTAGTTTGCTGTGTAATTGTTATATCCGGTTTCCGAGCAGGAGGATCAACGGTCGGAATGGTACAGGTCGATGTCCGTTTTCCTTGAAAACCACCTACACCGACAATGAATATCGATATCTGCCCAGTCGACAACTTCTCTCCATTCGCTACATTATAGGTATCATCTAGAGGAATATTAAATGTTACATATAGTATATATATATATATATATATATATAATGTAGATTAAAAACATGCATTATTACAAATATTTTGCACTATTATACACACACATATATATTTAGATATTTCTATATTAATGACATTAATCTATTAGTCTCCCTCAATATTATATAAAAGTTTAATAATTTCACATTGATAGTGAAATTTATTTACGTTGAACTAAAACAACGACGCCTTTTCCTTTGTCCAAGACATCCTGAACCTTGAAGCACGTTTCTACCGTAGCTTCTATAGGCAACCGTTTACAAACTTCTAGATATTGTTCACCATGAAGTATCTGCAAATATCAATATAGCATAAAGTAGCGATATCTCAAATAAACATGCAAATTTACAAACAAAAATTCAATATAAAACTAATAAATTAAAATTCTAAATACACAAAACATTAAAATACCAAAAATAGATAACAGAATTCAATCTAACCATACCCGTGATGGATCAATTTGTATGTTTGGCAGAGCGTCCTGCAGGATAGAAGTGGACATGCATCCTAAAGGTCCATACACAACATAAAAAGTAGGCAAAACAGCGAACTCGTCAGCATTCTCATATAAATAACGAATATCACTTGGTTCCTGAACTGTAGCTCCAACTGAAATACAAAATCCAATAAGTTTAGGTAAGTTGAAGTGAATCTATCGTGCATTCAATCTGTTTGACATACCTCCGAGCGCATATAGTATAATATCGCGGAAGTTGTAATCATTCGTCAAAACATGGTCTACCTGCAAGCAACGGAAATAATAAAGATTAAAAACATCTATAATCAACAAAAGAAGAAAAAGATGTACAGAGCTTTACATAGCTTACTTTATTTGAAGTAGAAGCTTCATTTTTCAAGTTCTCGATAAGGCCTAATAATTCTCCTGTTGCTTCCTAAAAAGATTGAAATGAATGTAAGAAGATATCAAATCAAATATGTATGCAAACTTTTTTACCTGGATCGAATCGAGTCGCTTTGCCGATGTCATGTCGATCACTTTCGACCAATTTTTTTGTACATTTTCTGGTGTAACATTAGCCGATAAATTTTGCCGTAAAACGCAACCCGAAGAACGGACTAAATGACCTATAAATATTGATAAATAAAAAGCCTTAGATAGAAGAATCTCTGTGAAAGTAAGTAGGTTAGAGACATAAATTTTAATAATCAACAACTCACATTTGCTAGCCCAACCTAATGCTGCTTCAATAATCGAACCATTTTCTGTACAATTCTCGTGGCACAACCAAAAAACAACAGGTGCTATCAATTCAGGCTTTAATTGATCATGAAAATCTGCGAAATGTTAAATAGTTTTCTATTTTACCTAATGTTTAGCAAAATATCCAGTATAATTTATTTCATTCGTCAATATATGTATTGAAATTGATAAGACCTAAGACCGCTCATATAAAACTTCATGGCATAAGAGTATGTAATAGGACTGATTACTCACCTGGAGGAAGGATATCTTCCGTTAAACGTGAGCCAGCTGTGGGCACTATTACATTGCTGTAAATATTCTTTTTTGCACCTTCGATGGCCAATGTATTGGCTAATCCTACGAGACCCAATTTCGCCGAGCTGTAATTGGATTGTCCAAAGTTCCCGTACAGACCGCTGTTGCTCGATGTAAAAATTACACGGCCATACTTCTGCTTAATAAAATATGGCCACGCTGCTTGCGTTGTTTTCATAGAACCTTTAAGATGAACATCGTGTATCGTATCTGAAAACAAACGCACAAACATACATAAATTTATACAATTATAATTATGCATAACATATTTTATTTTGTATATATATATACCCCATTGTGCATCCGTCATCTTCATGAATGATGCATCCCTCAGAATACCGGCGTTATTAACAACTACATCAATACGGCCGAATGCCTCGATTGCCGTCTTAATGATTTTCGCACCATTCACCACAGAATCGTAATTCGCGACAGCTTTCCCTCCTAAAGAATTATTATTATTGCTTATTCTGTATTGTTATTTCATATAATACAAAATTAAATAATAGAATTAATTATATGTAACATGCTAAAAAAAAAATATTAAATATTATGCAAAGAAGAGACTCTTTAAACAAAACGAATCGTATTTATATAGAAAAAGGACAGAAATATAAAATTCGTGCCTATTTATTTTTGTAGTTTCTTTTTTAGAATATTAAATCGATTCCTTTAAATAAGTCAACAAATTCTGTCTATTTTACTAAAATAGCTTAATTACACAATAAGATTAAACAAATGATAGATATACAAACTTCTTTAGTTGTATAACTTCTTTGAGATTTATAAGCAATATAATTTATAGATAATATAATCTCTAGGTTTGGCTTCACTTATAAGTGCTAAGTACATAAATATTTTGTTAATTGATGGATCTCTGACAAATTTGCATTATTAAAGGAATTAATAAACATTGCAATTTTTTCGATTTAAACAAGATATATAAAAGAATACAATATTTATCGATGCTATAAAAAGAGAAAACATTATTCTTTTAAATGCAGTAGAACATTAAAGCCCAGCAAACTTAATCATACGAAAAGTGTAATCTTGTTAACAAGATTAACACACACACACATACACACACACACACACACACGCGCGCGCGCGCGCGCGCATACAATAGATTAATTATAATAATATAACTTATGAAGATAATAGCAAAAAAGAAAAATTTACAAGTATTAAATATCCTTATTTTTTTAATGAAAACTATTATTTATTAAGTAATAATGTGTATAACAATTAATATGACATTGCACAATTGAATGATTAGTTTTTTATATTTTTTACATTTGACAAATATCCCCATTCTTTATTCTATCAAAATTTATGTATTGTAAAAATTCTAAAAAAATGTACTTAAAGCAGTAGAGAAAAATTAATTCAGGAACTTTTTTTACATTACAAATATTCATTTAAATTTATCACTAATAAAATAAACAAGTATTAAAGACATGAGGCATATTATCTTAAAAAAATTAAAATTTATTCATGTCCAACTCAGGTTTAAAAATGCATTAAAGATAACATAAAAATTCTAACATTTTTAAAAGTAAAAATTTTGTATTGAAAAACAAATGAATTAGACTAGAAATTTCATATAATTGAAAACTTAAATTAAATAAGATATAGAATTGATCCATAACACTAACCATTTTGTCGAATCTCCTGGACTACAGCATCCGCACTCATGGTGCTATTTCCGTCTCCATGTCTGCTGCTTCCTAAATCATTCACAACTACACTGGCGCCTCTGGATGCAAACAATAATGCATAAGCTCGTCCCAATCCTAAAACATTAATTATATTAACTTCAATATGCAGATATGCAACGCAACAGTCATACACAAATGTCAATATATAATATCAAATAATTTACATTAATTCTATATTCAAAATTATTTTTCTTGAAAATTATGCAAACAATTAGAAAGTATTTATATTTTGCTTCCTCGTAGAGGAAGCTTTGTTTTTACTGGCTTTTATAATAAAAATTTTCTCTTATTATGAACATTTTTTTTTATTCTGCATATATATTCCAAATATAGAAATTAATAAAATATAATCAGAGATGGATAAAATTCAAAGTTTTTTATAGCTAAAGTGGCTGTACTAGTTCAGAGTTTATCTTTTTCTCTCTACGTTGAGAAGAAGATAAAATCTGAACTGACATCCTATTTTTGAGAATAAATATTTAAAAAACAAAAACATTTACCTGCGCCTGCTCCAGTTACCACAACCACTCGGCCGTCGTACCGTAGTTCTTCCGGCATTCTTGTCGTTTGAATGAAAAATATTCACTGTAAAGCTTGCTGGCAATCGATAAAAAAGCTTAAATTTTCAGCTCAAGCTTGGTGCTTTTAAATGACTGTGCTCAGAGAACAGCGATAATGATAAGGCAAAATTTTATATCATTTGCGTTCAAAGTTCATTTCAATAAATATACCCCACTCACGCCATATTTATAATACGTATTATCACATTGACATATTGCAAATTTCAGATGACGTTTGACGTTCTGCACTTTTATCCACGATGTATACACATTCGAGAAGAGATCGAAACACCTTTTTTTCAACGAGTTTCGGAACGCATCTAAATCGTGAAGAACAAACTCGATGAAAAAAAAATATCCCGATCCATGAGTGTAATTTTGGACGCGTTCTAGAGATTTTTTAGTTGGTAATATATTTTTCCCTGTCGCATTTAGTGATTACCCTAGACGACAATCGAGCATAAATTTCCTAGACTGTCATTCCGTCTAAAAATATTACGCATGCGCATTGTTGTATTCCGTGATTACATTTTCGCATAGGACACCTCCCATCTAGATATTCGTGCATCATGACTGGAGAAAAAAAAAAAAAAAAAAAAATGCAAACGTGTAGCGAGAATGACAAAAAGGGAACAACATTCACGAGGTTGTCGATCACACACTGGCTCGCAAATATCTTCTTGTCGAATACTTTACTGAATTGCTCATTTCCGTAATTCTATCATCGCGTTGCCATGATACATAATCGATCTCCTAATACACAAATGTCGGACATTTTATTTCTACGCCTATGTATGTACGACCGGTAGTCTGATCGTAATAGATAAGAGTTGCGAAGCAGGAAAGAGGGAACTTCCGATATATGTATAGGGTGAGATTATCGCCTTGATTTGCGTCAATGCTATCTGTAGAAAAGGAAGAATGTGGGTCGAGTAAAAGTTGCATCGAGGAGAAGATATCTTTTGGTCAACCTTTGATAATTATCGAAAAATGGATACTTTACGATGGTACGAAATATTTCGTAAAGTATCTAATCATCAATGTGACCTTAACATTTTTATATACATATAACGAGACTGGAAAAATCCTAGTGTAAAAGAGAATCCTATAAATATAATTCCATCCAGAACGTAAATCTTCGTGCTTCAAAAACGAACGACCCCATTTGGAACAATGCCGACTATAACACGTCGACACCATGCAAATTTCTTACCCGACCCATTTTCCTCTACAGATCCGACAATATTGACGCAAATCAAGGTGATATAAGTGCCTTACCCTATATATCGGTCAGTTCATCGGCGTGAGCACTGATGGACACTGCAATTTCGTAGGCATACGTTTATGCCTTCTCATGACATACGATATACGATGAGTCATCACTCTTCGTTTGGCGTTTAAAACGTAGATGAAAAAAAAAAAAAGATCGTTAAAAAGAATTAACCGATTATTTACATCTGTATTTAGCGTGAGATTAAGACGCTAAATAACAGATCGATAATAGATTTTATTTATCCGAGACGCGATATCTCGTATTCGACGTAAATCCGATGGTCTAAAATTTAGCGCTGAAAATTCAACGAGACGAAAGATGAAAATTTTTCGGTTCGGTAATTTCGTTGAGAATCTCGTTGCCGCTTCATGATACGCCACAACGCAACGGATCTTGACGGATCCCAGCCATTCGTGCGTCGCGTCACGTCGAGCAGCGCCAAGCGAACCGAGCGCGAACCGACGCGAACACAGCCGAGAGCGACTAATGGGCGAGGTGGGAGGGGAATGGCGTTTCGGTTGCGAAGTTCGGCTAACGAGACGGCGGGATGAGAGGCGAGGAGAATCGTGGGCGCGGGGGTGGAGGGAGGGAACGATTCGGTCGCGTTCGGCCGTCCTCGGCCGGTCACGAGCGGTATCTAGATGGCGCTCGCGGCGACGGACGACGGGTGGGGGTAGGAACGATGCATGGGCCGCGACTAGGAGGCACTCGGGAGGCAGGGAGGGCATGCGAACGACGGTGGAGCGCACAGTTCGGTAGTCGCCATTTGCGAGTTCCCTCGTGTCTCTCGCGCATTCGCGACACTCCGTTAAATACTCGCGTGGAGCCTGGACTCTAATTCTCCGTTTAACATTAATATAATATATCCCCGTCGTGGGCCCCCATGCGCGATACCCCGATGCAGAGATATTGCAGCGAGCTGACCGAAAAATTGTTGAAATCACTTGACAAGGAATACAATGTAAGTAAGGCGGAGTGTGGTGTGTCGCGGCGAGATGCACCGCGCCGTCTCCGTGTCCGTACGCGCAAACGGCTATCGGGCCACTCTCGATCCCCCGTGCGCGGTCTTGCTGCTGCCTGTACCAGTGACGTGCGCGAGTGCCCGCTACGTGCCCATGTGTGCGTGTGGTAGCGTGGCGGCCGCGACGGTCGCTTGTGTATGAGTGCCGCCGCCGCCGCCGCTGCCGCCACGGCTACGGCGGTCCCGCGGCCCGCGACCGTCCTCGTCGTCGTCGCCGCGATGCCGCGCGACGCACGTTCCACTCTACTCGCGTATACGACGGATACGACGATAATCCGTCCGTTACGTATGACACCCCCTTTCTCCCTTCGTCACGTCGGTTCCCTCTCGCTCGCTCGCTCGTCGCTCGCACACTTGCTCGCGCGTCGCCGAGTGTGTACGTACAGGTGGAGAAAGCGAGAGAGCGAGAGGGTGAGAAAAAGGACACTGTCGATGACGGAAGACGTACCTTATGTATGTGAGAGCCGCGCGTTCTCAATTACCTGGACACATAACCTCAATACCCAGACGATGTCGACCGCTTCGGTGAACATTTTCTCGTGGACGTTACGTATATTCGATCGTGCGTTGTACGTTTTTTCTTAATCATGTACCATGGAAATTCTGCGAATTACATGAAATCTGTCTATCACGTTGGCTGTTAATTCTTCCAAGATTGACTTCCTTGTATCCGCTTCTCGATCGTCGATTTCCCGAAATACATATGACATTCTTCGCGAGAGAAGCGGTTTCCCATTTCGATCGACAGTGATCGAAACGTGGTGCAGTCTCCGCCAGAAACTTTCTTCCCTTCCATTCCTAGAAGGAGACAGCCATGCTGTTCACGATCCGACGAAGTTTCGTCCGAGTTTTGTGTTTCCGTGACGTACACGTGTACAGGACGTTCTCGCACTCGTTCTGTGCACTTTGCGAAGTCCATTCTGTTAATCCTCGAAACGTTTACTGCAAAAAACTTTATTTTTCGTCAAACATCGTCGCAGATTTGCTATTTGATAAATCGTGACGCAATCCTCATGTGATTGAAAAATTCACTCGTCGATTGAATTTCTTTGCGAATATTTTTACTACACACGAAAAATTTATGTATGCTATTTTGCAAGAGCTAAAAAGAATATATAAAACATGTATTTGTATATATATGTATAATTTTTTCGTTAAAATCTTCCAAAAATTGCGTCTCTCCTATATCGAAATTTGATGTCAAATTTTCTTATGTTTATAATTGAAATAAACTTATATTAAAAATGTTGATCATACATATCATTATTCCAGGTCGTCGATATGCGAGCTGTTGTGGATGTCATTACGGCATTGGAAAAGACGACAATCACTAAAGAGGTGCTGGAGGTAATAACTTAATTAGTTGTACTTGATTTTTCATAGATGTAAATAGGAGTGCAAATATACAAATATATTATAAAAAATATTTGTAATAAAAAATAGAAAGTTTATTATTTTGGTATTATTATTTTAATCCAAAATAAAATAATACTTCTAATGTACGTTAAATGATAGGTACTTTTTTTTATAATGGTGGATTATATTTATGACAACAATCAAATTTTAAACATTATACGATATATAAACAAGTTGTGTAAAGTAAGCTTTTTTGTCAAATCAATGATATAAATACAATAAATAAAATTTCTAAAAAAATGTAATTTATATACTTTGGTGTGCTAAATATAGCTGTAATTAGCTATAATATATGAATAAAAAATGCTTACTTTTACATTAATAAATTGTAAATTATTATACAAATTTTCATAATGAAATAAGTAAAGTATTTAACTGATCAAACAAATATATGTATGTATTTTTTTATAATTATATCTTTGAATTACTAAAAACTCATTTATTTTAATCTTATGTTTAATAGGAAATTTCTGCTAAATAGTAATATTGGAAGAGTAGCAATACTATAATGATGATATAATGACAACGATACTAAATGATGATAATGTTTGACAGATTACAAGGCTTGGAAAACACATCAATGAGCTTCGTCGAAAGACGAGTAATGAAGCCTTGGCCAAACGTGCAAAGGATTTGGTACGACACTGGAGAGACATGGTTTTACCATCGGTGCATTCTACACCACAGCCCACCTTGGCTGATACCGCACCGCCAGCTCTCAATGGCGCGAAAGAAGTGGCCCTGAGAAATTTCAAACCGCAGAGCCCTGCATTACGAGGGCTCAAGCCTCACAGTCCTTTATTAAAAGACGCTACTCCTCTCAGAGTAAGTTTCTTTTTTTGATACAAATAGAACCATGCTTACAAAATTTTGGACTTTTTTTATGTTTGCTTTAAATGTGTTATCTCTCTCTTATAATAGATTATTTGACATATATATGGTCTTACAATATTGATATACTTGTAAATATGCACTCACAATTATCGACATACATAGAAAATTAATAATTTGATGGTTAATATAGAATTATATTATTTTTTTACTGTAAGATAATACTAGGAGGTATACATACACATTATATGTAATATTCGGGAGAATTTTGCAAAATTTATGTTTTTGAAAGAATACTGTAATTTCAATATTTAATTTTACTAATTTCTGTAATCTTATATAAGGAGTGACTTTGTAAGACATTAGTAAATTATTTGAGATATTATTTAAAATTTTTAAAAGGTGATAATTTATGTGATATTTACACTTGACGCCAAGTTGATTTGCCATAAATATGTACTTCTTAAGTAGTGAAAAATTATTGATTGTAATAAATATGCTGAATTTATAATTACAGGTGCTCAGTCCGGCGCTATCTATGCACAGCGACCATTCGCGATCTCCCAACGCATCAACAAATAGCAAACAGTCAATTACACCGATCAGCAATCACAGGATAAGTTCCTGCTCGAGGAATGCATCACCAGTGCTCAGTTCCTCGAGCCAGAATCATACAACAGAAGCGGTGCCACGTACACACAGTTCCAACAAAAGGTTACGGAAAGAGGAGAGCGGTAAGGAGCAACGTCAATGCTACCAACCGCCACATGGAATTGAGCCGGTGGTAGAGGAAGTTCCTGCCAAAAAGCAACGGCTCAATGGCGAGAACATAAGTGGTAATTTAAATTCGCAAGTGCCTAGCCCCACGCTGAAGGAACGAATCTCCTCCGCTTTCACGGAGACCGATTCTGTCGAGGTCACGGATGACCCAGGTCCGAAGAAACGCGGCCGGAAAAAGGGCAGTAAGTCGACGAAGCGACAGCCGTTCCTTGAGGACAGCGTGAAAAAGAAGCTGGCCAGTATCTCGAGAACTCCGAAGTTGAAGACCACGCAGGAAATAGTGGCTCAGCTACAAGCGGGCCGAAGCAACTGTAGCTCTATCGGCAATACGAATGCCCTACCTAGTCAAAGCGTCGTGGAACCGCCTAACATGGAGAATGTTCTGCGAGGCGACAGCAACGAGCAAGTGTCTAAATATCTGCATGGCTCGAACCAGAATCTTCATAGGAACCTGGTTTCCTCGGAAACGTCGTCTACTGGTAAAACGCAAGCGGCCCGATTCGCAGAGAACTGGCCCGAGGCGTGCCAGGACAGGTTGCGCGAGAACGACAAATCAGCAGGCAACGATCAGCCATCGACGTGTCGGTCACCGTCGCACCGAGATCTCACGGTCGAAGAGATACTGGCCAAGTTACCGCCCTTAGATCCCAGTTCGATAGACTGGGGTGAAGACGAAGAGCAGAATTATGTCGAATGTTCGTCACCACCACGGAACGTTACTGCCGAAGATCTTGAAAGGTTACACACGCAGTGCATCGAAGGACTTAACGGCAACTTCCAGCCGAAGCTGTCATCAACGACCGTGTGTCGTTCCGATGGTGACGAGCACTCGAACGCCAGGGACGAAGAGAATAAAGTGTCGTTCGGATTATCGAACATGGATAGTGTAAAAAGTGTGCATAACAACCAGACTGACGATGTGGAATTTCGGGAGTGGCATCAGATGCTGGCAAGGCCCAGTTACCAGGGCGAGATCCTCAACATAATGCCTTATGTTATTATCGATTAGTGATTTTATCATCGTATTCTCTATTATTATTCTTCCCCTGCAAAAAAAAAAAAGAATTGTGAAGAGAATTTGCAGATGATTAAAAACGGTCGACTGGCCGGAAAGTCAATCGGTCGATTGATCTATTAAAATTAATGATTTCTATAATTGCGATTTTTGAGATTGTGCTGTTTATTTCTATTTACGTCGAAGCGTCTATACCGCCATTCTTTCCCTGTCATTATCATTCCCCCGTTGTTATATAGTTATTACTCGCTGATCTCGAGCACGTGCAACCCCGCGCGGCGAGTAGAGAGAGAAGCCATTTTTCGTATCGTCATCATCGTTATCAACATCAACATCCTCATATTATTATTATAATATATTAATATATTAATATTTATAATATTAATATTTTTATTATTTTTAATATTATTGTTATTAATACTATATTATGTCAATTATTACTATTTCTGCTTCTATTCCTCCTCTATTAGTCTTATAACTTTTATTATCACCATCATCATCTTCATCATTTTCATTATCGTTAACGTTATCATGCTAACGATAAAGAAATTAAGAGACCACTATATGAAAAAAAGCAAAATCAGTGCTGAATTATAAATATCAAAGCGAAATCACTTGTGCAATTGATTTTGTAATTGCACCGTACAGGACGAGTTGTTGGGTGTGTGAGATATAAATTATGTAGATATGTGAAATAGTTGATATCGCGAAACGACACGAGCGCTGCTTATTATTATTATTATTATACAATAATAATAATAATATTTTTACACAATAATAAAATAGTTGTCGACATCGTTCGACTTTTCATCTTTGAGTATCAATATATATATATGGCAATGGCTCGCTTTTTATGTATTTTGTGATAATTTTGAGGAAGAATTGAAAGCGTTAATTGACGTGCATTTTATGCCCTACACGCGAAAAAATTGGTTTATAATGTTTTTCCTTTTCCATTGCATACTGTATAGAGTTTATATTGCAAATAATTAATCTTAAATTCAAGGGAGAAAAATAGAAATGAAATAAAAAAATGAATGCAAGCATTATACTCTTGAGAACTAGGAAGATATGCAAGTAACACATACAACACAGAAATGCATAAATCAGATTCTAGCGAGATTACTGTCGGTTTTAAATTATTTTTGAGATATTTTACAAGACTGTGCACACGGACTCTGTCGCGCGAATGTAGAGGGCAACTCGATTTCTTCGAGCTAAGTTAGGTACACCGGTGCCTTAATTGAGCAAAAAAGAAAGATGATATATTTGTCTAACCGTGTCATAGAGATTTTCTACTCAAAATTTCTTCTGTTCATTTTGTGCATAATTTACAACAACAGATGTGTTGAAAATAACATTATAGAGGCGAAACAATCGCGTGGCGATTACAACGCGATATGTAATTTTTTTCGTAAGTGCAATATCGGACAAAAGAATTCAAGTTTGATAATATACAAGATGTGTCCAAAACGTTGCAGAGAGCTGAGTGAATTATAAACAAAATAAAGAAGAATTATAAAGAAATATCGAAAAAGATGTGTGTCTGGCTTGTCTCCCTCGAAGTGATTCCTATTGAGCTCAATGTTATGATAAGACATCTAGTCCAATAATCCAGAACGTTGTTTTGTAGAGTTGCGTTCAATACATTTGTTAAAACTACTTGCTTTGGGCAAAAACAATAAGTTGTTTAATTCAGTCAATCCTTTCATCCTCGTCATCCTTCAAAATTCGATTAAATTTCTTTTTCCTGGAATTGAAATTATAATTATTAGTAGTAAAGAAATTTAAAATTATTAGTTTTTTTCTTTTTCAAAGAGTCTAGAATAAATAAAAACAAAAACTCTTACAAAAACAAGAATTTGAAACATTTTAAATAACGGATATAATCGTATCAATACAAGTATCCATTAGTCAAAAAACTACATTTGAAAAGCTTTGAAAGTGGCAAGCTACAAATTTCTTCCAAACTTTATTTTATGATAATCCATTCAGTCTCGAAACTTTCTCGACGTCTCTTGTATATTTTATGCGAAATAAATTAACCGAATACTCTCATTTATTAAAATATCACGGTCATTATTCCGCGATATAATCTTTTTCGTCATTTCTCTGAAAAGATTAAAGAGATATTAGTAATATTACAATATTGTGTTCTATGTGTGATGTAAGATTGCTAAAAGCGATAACAAGATTAATCTCTGTGCGCTTTATTTTTTAAGGAATCATTTTCTCTGATTACTTTTTTCAATCATTTTACATTCTTTAAATTCGAAAAGAGGTTCTAACGTTTATAATAAAATTATATCTCGAAATGTTAAGCAATTGTAATGTTGGAAATTCATTTTATTGACGCATATTGTATTCTATCATTGCTCCGTAAAGAAGAAAATAATACAATTGCGGAAACGTCCCGTTTTTGAAATTGCTTCGCGTGACTAATATTTTACTCATGTGCCGCTGTATACATAGTCATATATTTCTTCAGAATATCTCAAAATTGAAGAAAAAATATGAAATATAAAATATAACAATTTATGACCGAGAAAAGCAAGTTGAAGTCGCTTTCTCTTGGTAAAAGATATCGGAGAGACTAACAATTTTCGAATCAATAAAAATGCATGGCTTTTCAGAAATCAAGGCGCAAATAAATGAGGGAATATTAGTTTTCGTTTAGATTTTGCCTTAATAATATTTTAGCTCTTAATGTTTTCTTAATAAAATGTCAAATGATGAAAATTTGTCTATTTTTTGCAAATTTTCGAACGTTCCACGCATGTAAATTATAATAAAACTAATTGTCTCTAAATATGACAAGATAAATTAATAAGATAGAGATAAATTAATATTTTAAACACAGATTGTGTGTGTGTGTGTGTGTGCTTTTATTTAATTCGTGATTTAAACTACGTGTTTATGTAAATTCATTCATTTTATTACATATGTTAATCGCAATGTTGTTTTAATGCATCTAACGTATGCCAGCTGTTTACTACACATATACGATTTACGTTTGTCGTTCGTTTGGCTCTTATCTTTATTTCAAGCTTTCGCAACGCTTCTGTAAATTTCCTTCAGCTTTGTTTTCGAGAGACGAAGGATTTATGTATCTTGAGATGGAATGAAGCAGCAAAGAAAGGGACGTTTCAATATAAAGAGAGAAATAGAATTTTTATCACCAAAATTTTTAAAAAAAGACGAATGACATAAGAATAAAAATCTGTGATCACGTGTATATAACCAGTCGCGCGTTTACCTAACGTTTTGTTCACCGGGATAATATATTAGTAGTCCTTTAAATGAATTGTCCCTTTCGTTGCATAGTGTCACCAAGTCTCGCGCCAAGGATCTACGTCAGTCAAGATCGTACAAAGTAATCCGGAGTCGTTTCGATGATACATATGTTAGAAAATACGTGCTACTTTCAATAATTTGTCTGTCACTCGCTCTGATCTTTAATTTCTTCTTCTTCTTCTTCTTCTCGAGAGAGAGAGAGAGAGAGAGAAAAAGAGAGAAATCTCGAGATTTTTCCTCCCTAGAAATCTTAGCGTCCTCGCGTGACTGTCTTCGGAACTGCCTCGCTCGCGCCTTGTCGAAACCCGTCCATAAAAAGTTTGCGAACCTCGGCTGCGAGATCTGCGAGATCTCGGACTCTCGAGGCTGCCTGAGGCTCTCCGAGAGAGGGGGATGGGAGGGGGAGGGAGTCTCAGCCTTGGCTTTTAGCGACTCCGCGGAAAAACGTCCGTGACAGCCCACGCGACGCGTATCATATATATATATATATATACGTACATACGCATACGTGCGAACGTAACGTACGTGCGTTTCGACGACGAAGACGACGGCGACTCCCCATTATCGCCGTCAGTCACAACACGCGTTCGCGCGAGATGAGCATTTGATCGCGCGTTCGGCGCCAGCGCGTGAGAGACTCCCGTACACAGACACTCGAATATAATCCATCGAAACGAGAGGGAAAAAAGATGTCGAAAGCCCCTGACAGACAGAGCTACGCACAAACATACAAGCTCGTCGTCGTCGGTGGTGGTGGTGTCGGAAAATCGGCGATCACGATACAGTTCATTCAAGTAAGTACGCCAGTGTCCAACATACTGTATCTCTCTCGCTGCTAAAATATAATACGCGGGTGTCATAAATACGTGCATCGTCGATTACGAGAAACGCGCGGAGGAGGTTCTTCTCTTTTCATTTTCTCGTTAATTTCCCCCTCGCGTATTCGCTAGATTCTCTCTCGTCGAGGTGCGATTTCGTAGAAACGTGCGAAAAAAAAAAGCTGCTTCCGAGCTTTCATAGACTAGTTCGCTCGGCATTTTTAAAAATTTCGATTCCTGGAACAATCAAATGCGGATGACATAATCGTGAAGCTCTTGAACGAGGTTTATCGTTTTTTATCGCGTGGCGTGCGAAGGGACGATAGCTGGCTGATTGATGGATTATAAAGTATTATGTCATAGCGTGTGGACGCAATCGTCATATATGGTCATATGCGGCAGCGCCGTGGAACGTCAAACCTGACGAAGTTGCGCGAGACACGCGGCGCGTCGTCGTCGTCGTCGCCGTGACTTGACGGATAACCGATCGACGCCGATTTGCCATCAAACGGTATCGCCGACGACTCGTTACTCGATGACATTTCGCCCTCGACAATCCGTAATTCGCGACCGAAAAAAAATTCCGACAAAATTCTATTTATAACTTTGATATATATAGACATACGTTCCATTTGATTAAGAAACGATGCATTAAAGCGAATTATGTACATAGGTAGCTGTCCAAGTTTGATTCTAAATGCGCTTCTGTATATTTTTAACTCTCTAAGAACTTTAATAAAAAATATTATATATAAAAGAGGAAAGTAAATATAAATTGCGATAAATGATATATTTTAAGAAAGATCGACTTAAATTGATAATAAAAAAATTACCGTCAAAATTTGGATCGAGAGTATAAGCTTTTGTTACATGCATCTCATTACAATTGATCTCCATAACTAACATATTATTTTATAAAGCATAACATTAGTTATATATATATATATTTCTCTCTCTTATATAAAATTAATAGAAATTTTTTTTTAAACTTAAATTGCTTGTTGAAATATATTTCATCTTTGCTCATGAAAATTATTCATAGATATCATTCATATGATATTTTATTGTAAAGATTCTGCTTCTTTTTAGAGTTTTTTTGTGACCGATTATGATCCAACAATCGAAGATTCTTATACAAAGCAGTGTCACATTGACGATGTGACAGCTAAACTTGACAGTAAGTAAAAAATAAAAATTTGCGAGGGAAACGTTTTTCGAATCTCTAAAACTAATTGATGCCTCGACATTTTTCAAAGAAAAATCAGAGAATTTATCATTAAATCGCCAAGTATCATCAGTCATGAAATATCTTTTATATATAAGTGGACACATTCTTTATATTTATTTTAGTATTGGACACTGCTGGACAAGAAGAATTTAGCGCAATGCGCGAACAATACATGAGAAGCGGTGAGGGATTCCTTCTCGTATTTGCGGTCACCGATCATTCGTCTTTTGACGAAATATTAAAGTTTCACAGGCAAATACTTCGGGTGAAAGATCGAGATGAATTTCCTATGTTAATGGTTGGAAACAAAGCAGATTTGGACCATCAGAGAAGTGTGAGTATTGTTATAAAACTTTCGTTGCTCATTTTTCTCGTCGGAGAACGAATCGTAATCGTTATGTGTGTGAAAACTTTAAGCTCATTTTACGCGCCACAAAAGATCGCATATTGTCATAAATCGTTAACCTTGAAGGGTCTTAAACCTTATTTTTGAACCGCGTTTTTTTTTTTTAATTGTTTCCTGTAGTATCTTTTCCCCTTTACAACATCCTTTCTAACTTTTTCATTGTTCTCTCAATAAAACTTGGATTTTGAAAACTTTCACATTTTATGTGGAATGCTTTTGAAAAGAACAATTCTCCGCCGTTAAATATTAGTTATCCGCTTTTAAAAACGATATATTATCCCAAAAAATGAAAATCTGCTTGTCTCCAGAAATAATAGTCTTTTATTTCTTTGATATTCTTATTTCTTTGATTTTATTTCTTTGATATGTCTAGATATTCCTTTGAATATGAAATTAGAATGGCATTTTCCGAAAATTCTCTAGTATTTTAAAAATCTTTTAGATGTTATAAAATTATGTTGAAAAGAATACATCTGTTTGAAGACATCTCAATCTGTTTGGATCTTTTCAGGTATCAATCGAAGAGGCACAAAGTATAGCACGTCAATTGAAAATTCCATACATTGAATGCAGTGCCAAGTTACGTATGAACGTCGATCAAGCTTTCCATGAATTGGTGCGAATCGTCAGAAAGTTTCAATTATCGGAGCGGCCGCCACTGAAACCAAATTACAAAAATAAGAATAAGAAGAAATGTTGCATGCTGTAATAAAAAAAGCTATCTATCTTGACAGATGATTTCATACTAATTCGATGGGTGAGTTCTAATTCCAGTTAGAAAGAATGATAAATTCAAAATGGCAGAGAGATATAAACTTTTATAATGTACTTTTTTTTTTTGTCGAAAACTTTTAATACTTTTTACACATGGTTAATTATAACCGCACGACATACAAACACAATTGCGAAATGTCTAACACGTGCAAGAAAATTTAAGCAAGAAATTGAATCGTATATGTAAGTTATAAGATATTTTAATTTTTTTTATTTTATTATATTTTTTGAAATAGTAATTTATAGAGTTCAATAGAAAGTAATTCTTGTTTATATAACAAGTCAATTTTTGTTTTGCACAAATGGAAGCAATATCCCAATGACAAAAAAATAAACTATTTTTTAATAAGTTTTACTAAAAACCGTCTATAATAACTATTTAGTAGGTTGAAACAGTTTATAATTTGATTTACTATTATTACTTGGAATGCAATATATTGTTTGAAACAATATATTTTGGTAATATATAGTACAATGACGATTGAATTTACTGGGAAACAATTGTACACATCGTCAAACATTCTAGGATCTTTGCAGAATTAAAATTTGCTTGAGTTGGATCCTAATTATTTGATACATTTGATACATTTAATAATCTTTAATATATTAATGGGATATGATTATCCTGAAAAACAAAGCAAAAAAAATGTATTCTGTAACAAAACAAGTTTGTACACAATAATATATGCTTCTATTACCAATGTTTTAAAATATACGGGAGATATAAGGTATAAATATACAGGATTCATACTGAAACGTACAATACATTTCATACTGAAATGTAAAATATATTCTTTTATTTTGTCATTTTAACAAGATGTTCTCGTATGAGATATTTGTTGAAATATTTGTTCAATTTTTATCACGCACATGACCCGATCAATATAACGATATTATCGTTGATACATATAATATTAAAAAAAATACATTTATTTTTAATGTGAAAAGAATTAATGATTAATAATTTTAAATGGTTTAAACATACTCTGTACTCTCTGCCACTTGTCGAAAGTATTTCTGCTATTATTAGCAGTGTTCTAATTCGTCTTCCTTTAGGTCGAGTCATAATGCCTAATTGCGAAAATCAAAATGGCGTAGTGATATTGCCAAACGAACGAATTATCAAATATAAACAATTTATGTTTATGAGTTATGAGTTTATAAGAATTGTTCAAATTGTTTAGAGTTATCTCTATATATTTACATATAGCACTTAGTGGTTGAAATTTTGTGCTATTGTTGTTATAATGAAGTCAGAATGGGGCCAATAACATTTTTAACACAGACAAACCTGTAATTAACAATATCTTAACAGCGTATACTCCACAAATTCTGATTAATGCATATGCTGCGTAACATTTAATATTCTCAGTAGTTAACACAATCAGTGAATGTTCTTTGAAACTCCTCATATATTATATATTGCATATGTAAAAAAAAGGATAAGCTTGTTTAGATTCTAATTTTTGAAACAAGATTAATAGTTTGCATATCTATTTATTTTAATATTTTCGTTATATTGATAATTAAATGTCTTCCAATATCCCTTAGATGCATGTATCTTGTTATTTCTATTTTATGAAAACAACTTCAATATAAAATAATATTCTAATTCTTTATAATTTTCTATTTGGTAAATAATATGACATAGAATGCATTCAAGTAATTTCATAACTTCTTTTTCCGCTAACTGAATTTATTTCAATGATCTATATGTTTATATCGAATTGTAATAATATAATGTGGTATTTCTGATTAAAAACGCTGTATTTGTGGAGAGATGAAAATGTGTTCAGCAAATTTCGGTTTCACCAGCAACGAGAAATATTTTTAACTATTTCAAATATTTTCACACATCACATTTTATCATAGTTCCGTTGTTGGTGATACCGATCACGAAATGTACTAATAATAAAGCTAATAATAATATACTAGCTTTAATATAATGTAGTTAATAATAATAATAATATACAATCCATATATAAGTCTACAAACAATATTATACGATACAAATTTTTACAAAAATCTTGCGACGATATATCTTACATTAACAATAATTAATTTATATACGAACGTATATTTTGCAAAATGTAGCTTGTAATAATTTGCAAAGCGACAAGAACCGAATAAAAAAATTCCATTTATTTTTGTAACTGACTATATTTATATGTTTGTAAAAAAGAATGTCTATATATATATATACAGACTGATTTTTAGATTCAATCTATATGTTTGTTAAATAACTTCTGTAAACCAAATAATATGAGTATAAATTAATTGTTATTATGCTTTGTTATTTCCAATCTTCTGATACTATTTTATTTTAGAATAATTTAGAGTTATATGAAATGTCGCTCTACTAAGAGATTTACCTTATAATATTAATATATATTTAAACTTTTGATAAACATATTACAAATATCTCTTAAAATATTCATTTAAAAAAAAAGTAAAACAACGAAAAAAAACAGTTCATATTTTTACAAATAAAAGATCTGGGCGATGTTGAATAAAACAGTGCTTTAATCATTTAAAATTTCATGGACTTGACGAAAGATGCCGTCACTTTGATGTCAAAGCGATATAGAAATGTAAGTCGGTAAAGTTGAAAATAAGTATTGTAACAATCGACAAGTTGACATTTTTAGTTTCGATTAAATGGAGGTGTTTTCACGGCGTTCAAAAATAAAAATAAGATAACATAATTGAAACTTTACCAATCAAAATCAAAAAAATAAAAATGCACGAAAAGATAGAAGTAATTCCATACATGGCCAATATAAAGCTTTACTATTACTTATTACATGTGAAATCTTATGTAATTAATTAAATTTTTATATAAGATATATTATGTAATCTCTCTATGTAAATAATTAATGAAACAACTTTACTTTGTACATATTATTTGTAGCGAGTAATCTTACTCAAATCATTTAATAAAAATGAATGTCGAGTAACGCTAAATATTTTAATAAGATATTGTTTCTCTTATTAATATTATAAATGATGAGATACACATAATTTCTTTATTAGAAAATTTCTCTACTTCTACAAATTAACGCTGTTTCTCTCTATATATAAGTAAGTTGGTGCATTAATTTAAGTGATATACATATACCATAACACAATGTATGATTTTGTTTATCTCCGCTTTGTTTCCGATCGTTAAATTTACAGCGATATTATGCGTAGCTCGCGTAACAAAAATTGTGTCGATTATTAGCAGTCGCATCATGATACGGCCACTCGATAACTGAATAACGATAATATATGCAAAATATGCCTCCAACGGCACATTCACCCTAATTTAGACGCCGACCGATCTCAGGGCGCAAGGTGGTCAGACGGGATTCCCACCTGGGCTATTCTTGACCAGACCGGGCTAATATTGATGCCACGCGATTACTTCCAGTCATGCTGTCGTGTCCGTAAATATCTCTCATCGCGGTTTTTTCTTCTACTATCGTATCTCTTGATACATTTGGATATCATATCTCTTGGATACCATAATCTATTAATCAAAATCTTGATTATTTCGGCTCTTAGCTTTTTCGATGAATTACATAATTCTCAAAATTCTGTTATTTTTGTAGATTTCCTGTTTTACAATTGTATTTTAGAATTTGTTATGCCGAGTTAAAATTTTCATATTATTCTTATCTTTGTATTTATTTCCTCTCTGTATTTCATATGTGAAGATTTCTATATTGCTCACGTTATATATATGAATACATTTCAAAATTAAAATAAAGGAAAATTGCACTAGCTCAGGCATAAAACAGTTAAAAATTTGAAATAAAGAGTAGCCAATGAATGAACGACAGCAGATGACTGTGTAATGCGTGTCTTGAATGGAACAATTATAACATAAAAATAAAAACCACATGTTACGATTGCGAAACGTGCGTCATCGCACAGTCGCATAAAAGATTATTTTAAATTTTTATGCAAAAAATACAGTCTACTATTGTTTATTCATTAGCTAGTCTTTGTTTCAAGTTTCTTAATACATTATGGTTTCCTTGGACTTTAAACGCGTGTGTATTACAGGAAATTATAGGATATAGGAAATATTTATTGTTACAATTAGCTATTGCTACATAGACAACTTTTTTCATTTCAAGATATGGCAGCAATTCCTTCATCTATAGCACTTCGTCCATCGGTCACAAGGTCGCCGTAACGGTATATTTTTTCTGAGCCCATCAACGCGTTAGAAAGATCGAAATTATCTAATTCAGGAGTTTATTTTAGTACATATTTGCGTTTAACGGTCATCTTTAAAGAATATTTCTCTTTTCCGAATATTACGGTAAAGACGCAATAAGTTTCGCAGTTTTTCATTCGGATACGTCGGTGTCGGTGCATCCGGATACACTGATGTAGCCGAAGTTAAATTGTAAAAAAGGACGCGGCGTATCCGATTAATACCTTCTTGCTCAAGAGCACACATCGAAAAGAAGAACCTTTACCGTAATCGATTCCGTCTTCTTTGTTCGGTGACTCGGATATTCCGCGGCAAAACCAGTTCTCGAGTTAGTGCTTTGCTTAGGCTTGGACGTGCGCGTATGTCAGATCATGAAAGCCGTCGTTGCGCGAAAAGCGATCTACGATGGAAAACATTATGTTAATAATCGCACGTGGAAGGTTGCGAAGGTAGTGAAAGGTGCATGCTGCGCTCTGGCGCGCCATCGACATAAAAATATTATTTGTATTTAAATTACGCTCGAGATAGAGATAGAGAGAGAGAGAGAGAGAGAGAGAGAGAGAGAGAAAGAGAAGTATGAGAAAATACCCCTTTGCGGCGTTTCGATTCGATCGCGAAAGCCGCGGAAAAACGCTGAATAAAAAATAAAAATTATTAATTATATATCTTCTCAATTTTTTACCCATTTAAAGAAGAAAAATTTCTCTTTTTCATTATTTTATGCGATATCATGCGATTTGAATATATTTTTGTTCGTCTTTCAATATTAATGAAAGACGAAAAGCTAGAAAGTGGTAGATCTTGATACATTTCGAAAAAAAATTAAGTAATATAATATTCCTTAGTGTGGCATCTATATGTATAATAAAATCAACAAGATCGAATTAAATCCCTCGAATGATCGAGGAACCTTTTGGATCTTCGCTTCGTCCTGCTTTGGGTGTTCCTTGGATTCAAGTTCTGTATAATAATAACACTACGTGTGCGCAGGTAATCTTCGAGAACAGGCGAAGAAGGACGAAGAAGACGAAGAAGAAGAGGAAGAAAAGAGAACTGTGGGATAAAAATAGCATGGTACAGTCGCAAAATAAAAACTAATGATGCGAACCTGCAGAATGACGATCCAGACTCGCCGAGCAAGGAGGGGATCGAAGAAGGAGAAGAAGTACAAGGAATGGAGAAGAAAGGTCGTTGCCTAAAAGGAAGATCAGGATTCACCACCGGAGGAAGACGAACGGAGAAGAAGCTCCCCTGTATTCTATAGAGCTCACAATTTGTAAAATAAAATATATCGATTATAATATACATTGATATAGAATATATCATTAATTATTAAATAAAACTGAGAGAGAAAATTATTAGCTGCAAAAATAATAATTTTTTGCGATATCATATCGAAATGGAAGAAGCGCGAACTCTTGAATGGAAATTTATTTTTTCACTTTCTCGCGGAGTATTTATTGTTAGTCGCGTTAACCGCGACTTGACAATTGTTAATAGAGTTATAATAATTATATAGTAAATTTTACATACTTATAAGAATCGTATCATACATGCTTGTTCGTTGTTACTCTTCATTTTGTTCCCGATGATAATAGGAATACACAACGGATTTTAATTATAAAATGATTTATCCTCGGTTTTTATTTCGTAAATGCGTGGCTTGCACATCGTTGAAGGTATATTCGGCAAATATTCTTGGGATCCGATATTCTGTGCATAAAGTAATTTGTGGTCTAGTGTTCTTTGGAAGTCGGCAGGTACCGCGACGTAGTGCGATGGTGGGAGCCGAGCAAGCGGTGGTTGTGCGTGCAGCGGAAGAAATCTCCCACCCTCTCGGTGATCGCGCGCTGGATCACGCTACTCGACCTGTCTCCACCTTATACTCTCTCCGCGGTATACCGGGAGCACCTCTGTGTGGTAGCTGAGTTAAAAGTCGGCATTGTCAGCCAGCCAACCAGCCAGCCAGTCAGTCAGCTAGCTAGCCAGCCAGTCCACCAAGCGGTCAACTCGAAGAAAACAATTCTTACGTACGCACCGTACGTGGTGCACACACCGGTCTTATAATGGCCAGGCGCGGTGACCGTTTTGGTACGATAAAAGTCGAGGGCAGCCTTCGGGTGTTCTTGCGCCGGTTCGAGAAGAGCTGAGAAAAAAAAGAAGAGGGAGAGGAACGGGTTCTCCAGTGCCAGTGTGCAGTCTAGTCGAAGACACAGGATGATAGCGAACGTCCGATGAGCATCCTGCTTCCCGTTGCCTTCCTGCCAAAGAAAGAATCAGAGAAAGAGAGAACGAACACCTTCGCGGGTGATTGAGCTTACAGCCACCTCCATCCTTCCTCCACCACCGCGTGAGAAGAAGAGATGCCGAAACGAGAGGAAATGTCTACCAGGTCAGTGCGCAATTATTGTTATTGTCTTCGGATAAAAGTTGGTTAGTCGAATCATTGTTGATCAATCATTTTTAGATTGTTTCAATGTAGAATCTGAAATATATATCAATTATTAGTCTTGAGGATTATTTCAACGACTTAAACTCATATTATAAAGTACACATACATATGTACAAGTAAATATAAAAATTAAAAAGAAATCATAATACATATTCCTTTTTTTTTTTTTTTTTTTTTTTGACGGGCTATCGTATTTCTCCGTATCTCATATTCATTATTCTAACTTGTTTTACTTAAACAGAGTATTATAAATTGATTATTTCTTTCCTGCATTAAATATTATTTAATTGAGATAGAGAGAGCATAATTAGTATATGTTATATTTAAAATAATAAAAAAATATATATTTTCTAAAATACACATCTACTTTTTTCGTGTATTACTTTGGAAATGCTCTGAGATCATAAAATATTTTTATTAGCAGACTTAGATTCAAAGAGTCTTCAAGAAAAGATATTAAGATACAATGCTAAAAAAAGTTAGATTTGATTGAAAAGAGGAGGCACAAAAAGAGGATGTTAGATTTGTTGACTATGGTCATTAGAGCATAGTAATCTTATGTATCGCGTGTCTCTCCTCGCGTCATGCAATCTTATATATGCTTGATTTGTGGAACCTAGACAGAAACATATATATTCGTAAATGTATCTGTTATATTTTATGCAGATGATATATATATATATATATATATATATATATATATATATATATATATTGTTGTAAGGTGCTATTATATTTCCGTTCTGTGCTTCAAAAATGAATATGCGTAGTGTGCAAGGTATATATATCAACTCCAATATATATAATTTTTTTTGCATTCCGCATAGTGGAAGGAGCTTTCGAGGAAATTATCTAAAACATTGCTTAGATTTTAGTTTAGCTAGATAGTTAAAGCAAAAAATACAAGAAAGAACAAAGAGCAAACTGTTCGGTTTGTAGTGATGCTGCGAAACCAATTAATAGCTTTATTTAAACGCATCGCGAACGTAGCATACATCTTTAAACTCTGCCAAAAACAACAATTATTTAGAATCGAAATGTCACGTATTTCTCTATATCTTTGTGTGCTTAGCTGTTATATATATATAAAGTCTATATATAATTATATGTCGGTTTTCCTCAAAATGAAAATAGTCTGAAAATTCCTTTCTCATCGTTTTTTCTCGAATCAGTAACAAAGCAGGAAGAATATACGAGACGTGTAATTGATCGTTTACAAGGGATAGATACCGGTTAACACTCTCCGCGTATGTGTGTGTATTTCACATCTATCTGTTACTTTCGTATCGGAACATGTTTCACCTTTCGGATTTTATTTACGAATATTACATTCATCGTAATGCTTCAAGGGGTTTGAACATTAACGAGTCGTTTGTTAGTTATTGCCCGCGCTATGTTATGTACACTAAGGCGACAGAGAGCCTTAAAGTCACAAGTATATGAGATGCTTGGTCCGATACTTATGCTTATGAAACTCGTAAAATGATATCAAATAAAATTTAAATGTAAAATTGTTTAATGTCATAACGGTATATTTTTCCTGTGAATGAATGCTGAGTTATACACGATATAAAGTATCTTGAGAGAATTCCTTACTATGCTGTAATAATCGCTGTTTATTGCTAAATAGGCAATTTACTTGTTAAATAATATTTTCCTTGCAACTATTTATATAAGGAAAGCTTGTAACTTTTCTTATTATAAAATCTAATACGCATAACATACACACACATACAGCGAGTAGAATGTAATGCATCATAAATAAACATAACTTTTCAATAATATATGAATTTTATAATGCATATATAAAAACAAATCATCTTTATAAATATAAAAGATATTCTGTACTTAAAATCTTTTACTAATAATTAAAAAAATATGTTTATAATTGTGATGCAAACTCCAATCCCTCTATATATAAATAATTCTTCTTATATTACTTTTCCCAATCTAAAAAGGGCATGTTATTGACATTGTTGTCGCTTTTCCGCGATCTTGATTGGTCGCTATTTTATAAATAATTTACAAGTTTAAGAAATAGAAAATGATTAAATAATTTTACTCAAAAGTTAAAATTTTATTTATATAAATATTAGACTCTATTTTACATCTTAAATAGACAATAAACGGATAATTTTAACTTTTTCGGATACTTATTTGTCTGATTTCTGAACAATCAGTTCAATATCTGAATTCCCTGTGTTGGGATCGTATCAGACAAATTAAACTGATAAAAATAGTTATTATACCTTTAATCTTACTAGCCGCTCTTTGCAAGCTTTATATAACCATTGTGATTAAAATTTAAATGCGGAATAGATAACGCAACGTGCACCGCATAGCGGTAAACGAACGAACTAGCGATTATCGAAAACTGTTTTTTGTAATGTTTTTGGAATGTTGCTGTAACATTTTCATGAAATATTAGAATTACATGTTCCAATAATGTCTCAACAATATTACATTGCAACTTGCAAGATTGTAACATTGCTGCAATGTAATTGCAATGTTCTGTGCTGTATGGGGTGTGTCTGTTATTTATTATGGTAAAAAGCGCGCGCGTAGCGCGCGCCTGTGTTGTTTTAGTTATATAAATAGAAATTATCATAGAGTCCGACCGAACTCATTTGGTTTCGGCTATCTTCGGCCAAAGATTACACTTTCGGCAAAACTATCGGCTTCGGCTAAAATCAGTTGGAAGGTTTTGCCGAAGTCGATGATTATATCTACATAGGCGTGCGAGTGCGGCAAGGGAGCACAGGTGAGTGACAAGTTACTGCCTGTTTAATTTCGTTACCCCGGTATTATTTTAAATTACAACTCCGCAAACACATACTAAATAAAAATAAACAAAAACACTATGTCAACTTAATAGCAAATGCATTCAGCTGAAAAGAAACAGTTTCCCTTCTTTAGCATTATCAGTATTTATCAGGCATTATGTAATTCCTTCGGCTTTGGTTTCGGCCAAAAATTGACCTTCGGTCGGACTCTTATTATCAGTTTCTTATTAATGCCTCTTATTAAGCATGCAAAGATAGAGTATATGACAATACCTAATACTCGACATAGTTTTGAATAATTCTTCATTATTGAAGTCTATCACTATCGATTTAAAACTTAAAGAAATAGCATCCAAGGTTACTAATATTTGATCTAACTAATTTGCTTAACAAACAGATTAAATGCGAGCAAAACAAGAAAATTAATTAGCCGGTTCCGATTTAAGGAGGGAAACCAGTGTAACGGCTAAAAAAAAAAAAAAGACTATTTTTAAGGATTTTTTTTTTCTGGTAAATAATTGTTTTTTTCAAATCGCGTTTTATTAACATCACAAAATACATAATTTAATAATATTTATAGTAAAAAAAAAACGGGCGCACGCGTAGCGGACCAACGGAAGTTCTGAAACAAAAAAACCAAATATTTTCTTAAAATATAAGACAATAGCTTCAGTTGTACGTGGATTTAAAAAAAAATAATAATTTGTTCCAAAATGGCGGACTTTCGAGGAAAAAAGTTCCAAAATCGGTGATAAATTGACTTGTATTTTAACATTACAAAAAAACAAATTATTCAATCGAAAATTCCATGCGTGCAACTGAAACTATTGTCTTATATTTTAAGAAAATACTTGTTTTTTGGTTTCAGAGCTTTCGTTGCCCCGCTACGCATGCGCCCGTTTTTTTTTTTTTTTTTTT